ACACAGAAAAGGCAAGGCACCCATGGCAATCCAGAAAATGATTGGAATTCAGAATGGGATTTTAAGTCTTCATAAGTGGACTAATGTGTGCTGGAAATAGAACTGAGTAGTTTTGTAATCACCTTTCTTGAATAGATATCCCGGCCATCAAAAGACAACCTGCTCCCCTGATTCTGCTCCAGTTATTGTTTATTTTGTATTTGTATTTGTATTTGTTTATTTGTATTATTATTTTAAGTGTGTTTTAAATTGTCATTGTTTAATAGTATTTTAAGGGGTGGGTGGGATTGTGAGATATGAAATGTATATTTTAATGTTGTAAGCCACCCCAGTTGCATTATGCAGAGGGGCGGGATAATAATAATAATGATGATGATGATGATGATGATGATGATGATGATGATGATGTCTATATTCATCCAAGGGCTGCTGTGATGTTACTAAATACAGAGGTCCATCGCACAATGGCATCCAGTGGACTGACTGATGTGCAACAGACACCAATGTGTAACAGGCACCAATGTGCATTGAGGATGCTCCTTGATGCATATAAGGCCACTGGCCAGAAGTGTTGAAGCACAATCTGAGCTCCTGCTGCACATCAGACTTTTGCCTGGATATGCATCTTTGCAATTCACTAACAGGGTTTCCATTGTCTTTCTGCAGTGTAGCTACAGATTCATAAAGCTACAACATATACACTGTGCATTGATGTCAGTATGCATCTTAGCACCAGCTGCTGGGGAACAAAAGTGAGAAGGCGGTATTTCACACATGTTGAGCTTGTGGGCTTCTCTTAAGAATCTGGTAGGCTACTGTAGAGTCAGGATGTTGGACCAGATCAGCCTTTGGTTAGTCCAGAAGAGGCTATTCTAATTATCTTATGTCCTTATGATAAAAGATGCCAGTCCAATTGGTCATTAGTGGGAATAACAGGGCAATGATGTGACTCAGTTAAAGCCATCACCTTGATTTTTCTACTGTTACAAATTTACGGAATGAAGGGAAAAAGGTAAGATCAGCTATGTCAGATATAAGAGAAACAAGGGTTGAGAGTTTTTGAGTAAAAAGCTTAAAACTAATGTGGAAGAGACATAGGGTCTGTGCAGACTGCTAGAAATAGTGCAAATTGAGTCCACTTTAAGGGTTAGGGTTAGGGTTAGGGTTAGGGAATCATGGGAACTGTATTTTATTGTGGCACCAGAGCTCTCTGACAGAGAAGGCTCAACGTCTCAGAAAAAAAAAAACACAATTCCCATGATTCCCTAGCACTAACCCTAACCCTAAAAGTGGACTCAATTTGCACTATTTCTGGCAGTCTGCAAAGGCCCATAGTGTTAAGGACAAACTAAAGCCTAGTAGTTTGAACAACACGTAATCAATAATGCCATAAGAGCAGTCTACTAGAAATATGGTTAATGTATTCTATGAGAGTTAAATATGGGTAAACTGCCCCATACATTTAACAGAAATAGCTGTTCCTTTAGCTGTTTTTCAGCAGTCTAGACCACTTGTACATGTTACTTCATTTTCTTCCTCTTTTGAAGCCCCCCTCATCACCTAGCAGATTGTTCCCAGTGCTGGGGTTTAGTCTGAGTAAAGTCAGCATTGATTTTGCTTCTCTGTGTGACATGACTACATATGTAGTGTTGCCTTTCAACATTATCTTCAGTAGGAAATCCTGGTGGTAGTGCACACTTTCTGTTCTTAATCATTCAGCGATGATGTCTCTGCAGGATTTACACTTTTACAAGGCTTCTGGGAAACGGACTTGAAACAAAATGCAGCAAATTGTACTGCTCATGTTCTGTATTTTTCAGCAGCATTCCCTTCTTTTTTTGTGCCATTGACAAATGTGAGAGGCACCTCTTGTCTTGTGGTTCTGGCTCAAATGTCCTGAGAACCCATTCAGTATCTGTTACCCTGATCATTATCCTAGGAAATGTTAATATTACAGTCAGTCCTGTACTTAGGTCAGTTTCCCCTGAGGATTATCTCTAGTCACAGATATACTGATTCTGGCACCTGATGGGATCTTTCTTTCTTTCTTTCTTTCTTTCTTTCTTTCTTTCTTTCTTTCTTTCTTTCTTTCTTTCTTTCTTTTTTTGCAGGGATGCTGTCCAAGCTTGGATTTTCATTCAAACTTCAAAGGCCTCACTAGGTACCTTCAATATATAATTTACCCTTTCTGAAACTCCAAAGGATTAACAGAGGCAGACCATTCATTCTGAGTTCTTATTTTAACTCCAGAAGTTCATGCAACAGCTCTTTTAACTACTCTGAATTCCTCTTTCTCATCTTTGTTCAACAAGGCACCATATCATAATATTGATGTTTTAGAATGTTTTAGCTATGCTATGCAAATTCTACAGCATTCTATAAATAAATAATGATGATGATGATGATGATGATGATAATAATAATAATAATAATAATAATAATAATATCAGAAGCTCTGTGATAATGAAGGCAGAGCTTGAAAGGTTACTTATGTAGATATACTATTGGTTATCCTTCCAAATCTTTTCTCCCAGAAAATGAATACAGTTGTCCCTTCTAATTTGCTGGGGATATGTTCCGGACCCCCTGCGAATCGGAAATATCACAAATATTCAAGTCCCCATTCTTTTTAATGGCTGCACACTCCTGCCCACAGCCCTGCGCGCCCGCCATAGGTGCACACCCTATTTTGTCCCTCCCCATTTGCCATTCATGAAGGAGTGAGACCGCGGACTCTAATTCCGCAAATGGGGAGGGACGGCTGTATAAGTAAGTGATATAATAGTTGTATCTAGATTTGAGACCTTCTGGCTACATTGTTTCTAAATCTGCAAAGTAGAATATACTCCAAAGCAGACACCTTTCTGTTGGCCACACAGTATATTATACAGAAGTTTTACGAAAGTATATCTTTCTGCCTGGATATAATTTCATTTCTTTAGAAAAAGAGAAATCTACAAAATCTAGACACTGCTAGATGTAAACCTCCCTAGTAAAATTTAAGTGGGAGACAATTTATATCTCTTTGTCA